AAATAAAAACAGGCCTAGGCATCCTATTATGGCCCAAAATGGTACGATAGGGGCCATGAAGTCAACACACCAGGCTTTTTCAAAATTCAAACAATGAATTTTGAACTTTTAATGATACCACTGTATTGAAAGATGGAATAACTGTAACAACTAGGATGAGAAGGTCTGTTTTTAACTGTTCAGGGCAAAATATGAGCATTTTGCAGTTGATTCTGAATTTTTATTTTTATTTGCAAATCAGAACAAAATGAAGCGGGCGAACCCGTTAACCAAGAAATTAAATTGGTGTGGCCTTAGAATACAACCTATTTGTATTTATCGAAGCTCGTTTCATGCCTCATCTGTATTTGATAGATTACCAGCAGTATAGTGAAGCCCTGGGGCCTTGTAATGAATGGCAAGGATAGAACCACAATTTTACTATAGAATGATGTACTGATATCAATTTTACATTTGGAGACAGGTTTGAATATATCTTTACATGTAATGGTCCCCACAGCGCAAAAATAGGTAGATATATAAAGGAATGCTTTGTTATTAGAAAAAAATACCGAAACTTGTGATTACCCACTCGATTGTAACACTTTATCAAAGAGTTCTGCTACCCCTTATTATTTAAATAATTATGATATAGATATGTTAGGTTTTATTCGACATTAGCTCTTATTCAACACACTTATTTTATTGTTGTTACTCTAGTAGTTTGCCATACATTGTACCATGTGCGATTGTCGTGCAATAAAGTTCTATACAGCTATCAATTTTACAAAACGTATCCTACATTGCATTCATTTTGTTTTGCTTGTTCTAAAGTTTTGTCTTTCTTTCAACTTGAAGTTCGCACATCTTTATGACGTGTTATTAGGTGGATGGTATAAGTAGAACTGAATCGTAAATGGCGTCAGTGCTCGAGCAGGGAATAAGCAACATAAAATAGATGACTTTCTAGTCAAATACAGAAAAATACGATGATTCAGGGATACCACCAGAGGAACTTGAGATATAATATTATCCTTCTAAATTATATCCTGATCTGCATTTCCTTATATTCCCTCACTAATTTCCTCCAAATCTCATAAAACTAAACGAAATCCTGATTTATTGATAGATGATCATTAAACAATGCTTGAGTATGCCATAATCAGACATATTTTATAAGTCGCGCTATTCAGTGCCAGTCACATTGGTTCTAAAACAGACAGAACTAGAAACGTAACATTTGCAAATCAAATGCATAAATGTCTAATGTTTACCTTCGCAAAAGGTCTGCTCTGTCATAGTTTTCTTGTAAAGTTTTCCTTCTGATTGTTTTTGCTTTTGAACCAAATAAAAAGGCTCTTTAAGTTCTTACTCAAACACATTCATGTATATGGTTAGGCAGAGTCTAAATCCCTCCTGCTATAGAATTGCAAAATGATGTAACCCAACACTAGTTGCCATGGTGACAGACGTCTAGTTTAGTCCATTGACCTAAGTTATTGGTTTGAAGAAGAAGAGGAAACAGAGCAAAAACAATATGTTTTCCTTCGGTAAGCATAATTACGCAATTCGGTGCTAAGACAGACGACAGAATTAGTGGAAACCGTACAAGTACTACTTAAGTAATGTTTAGCAATCATAGACTAAACACACATCACTATAGGAAGGATTTTGTTTGCAAACAGCGTGGCAGGTTTTGAGAACGTCCCCGTGATGTTATCCAACACTAGTTACCATGGTGACAGACGTCTGGTTTAGGTCATTGACCTTATTGGTTTGAAGAAGAAGAGGAAACAGAGCAAAACAGTACGTTAAGATTTTGTTTGGAAACAGCGTGGCAGCTTTTTGAGAACGTCCCCGTGATGTAATCCAACACTAGTTACCATGGTGACAGACGTCTGGTTTAGGTCATTGACCTTATTGGTTTGAAGAAGAGGAGGAAACAGAGCAAAAACAATATGTTAAGATTTTGTTTGCAAACAGCGTGGCAGGTTTTGAGAACGTCCCCGTCTGTACCCCGCCCAGGCCCCGCGTGTGGAGAGACCCTACCGCGGCCCTGCCACGCACGATCAGTTCCGGCCGATAATGCCTACAACAAAACATCACATCTGTGTACCCGCCCTAAGTAAAATAAATCCCTTCTCCGCGGACACAGAACGGCAGAACAGTCTATTTCCGCTGAATCAAGAAGGAAGAAAACAATGTATATCAATATTTCATTATAAAGCTGTCGATAAGTATCTACGTTCTCTCATGAAAAATAAAGTGAATTTGAGAGGCTTTAGTGTCAGGTGGTCGCGCTTTATAATCGACCGATCAGGTGTGTGTAAATCACCTCTCCGGGCGGGCAACTTCTATTCATTTCCTGAAATCGACACCGGCAACCTTTGGGAGTGCGCTGCCTGGGTGCCCGTTAGGTGGCGCTTTTCCTTATTTGTTGGGTGATGACATTATTTAGAAGCACAATACACGGGCGAAATGCACAATAGAACTAGAAAGGTAACATTTGCAAAGCAAATACATAATGTTTACCTTCTGTTCTGTTAATTCTTACTCAAACACATTCATATATATGGTCAGACAGGAGTCTAAATCCCTCTTGCTATAAAATTGCAACATGATGTAACCCAACACTAGTTACCATGGTGACAGACGTCTGGTTCAGGTCTTTGACCTTATTTGTTTGAAGAAGAAGAAGAGGAAGAAACGAAGCAAAAACAATATGTTTTCCTTCTGCGAAGGTAAACATAATAATGTTTCCTTAATGCATACAAGGCTTCTAATTATACGGTTTTGTAACGATTTCTTACTAGACTATAGTAATCAAAGAGGGTATTACTAAATTCATAAATCACAACAGAAAAGAGGAAAACGAACAAAATACGGTTACTTATTGAAGAATTAATGTATGAAGTGAATGAATGAATAAATGAATGAATGAATGAATAAATAAATAAATGAAAACAACATCACTTCCAGCAAAATATTTCAACAGCGATGTCACTACGGTATGGTTCTACCACCTCTAAGCGACTTCATTATGTTTACCGAAGAAAACATATTGTTTTTGCTCTGTTTCCTCTTCTTCTCCAAACCAATAATATATAAGGTCAATGACCTGAACCAGGCGTCTGTCACCATGGTAACTAGTGTTGGGTTACATCATGTTGCAATTTTATAGCAGGAGGGATTTATACTCCTGTCTGGACATATGTATATGATAATATATTTGAGTAAGAATCAACAGAGGAGGCCATATGCGAAGGTAAACATATTTTTTTATATTCCAACGTGTAATCATACGACGTGATGGGGACACAACTTATATTAATGCCGCCACCAACACAGGTAGATATTATGCATTTGCTTAGCAAATGTTACCATGCTAGTTACCACTTGCGATGCAACCCAGTGTATGCCGGGCGCTATTAACAGGATCAGCCCCGTCGGCTATCTCCTAAGACATCCGCAAATGAGTTCTTTGGTCAACTCGGAGCGGCTTGCTTTTTTTCAATTACCCGTGTGGGATGAGCGTCCGGTGTGTTACTGAGACAGGCGGATCGCGGATGGGGAGGTATAAATACTACATGAACCACCCCGTGTCAGAACGTGTAAAGCCGGATGGGGAACATGCGTTCTCGTTTGTTGCTGGTTGCCTGGAGGCGGGGGGGGGGACCGTCCATTTGTGCTGGCGTACTGGAGATGAAATATAACTGCGCTAGCTACGTTAGGATGATACACCGATTTGAATCAGTTTTGTTATGTTACATCTAGGTTTTATTTAGTTATGTTTACCGAAGGAAAACATATTGTTTTTCTCTTCTCGAAACACACAAGGTCAATGACCTGAACCAGCCGTCTGTCACCATGGTAACTAGTGCTGGGTTACATCATGTTGCAATTTTATATCAGGAGGGATTTAGACTCCTGTCTGACCATAGACATTTAATTTATTATTATATGTTAGTTTCATTATTGATATTTGTTTCAAGGTGGAGGACATTTTACAAGCTTTGTAGGCTTCTTTCCTCCCCCTGCGCAGTGTTTTCAATTTGTTCCGCATATTTGTTTATCAATGTTTGTCATTTTATTTCTGCAAATAAATAAACGAATGAAATGAAATGAGACTGCCTGTGAAACAGATATGTTCGACCTGCCATTCATTGCACAAAATCCACACGTTCCATAAAGCATAATTCCGTTTCGTCACTTTCCTTTAGACATGCTTTAAAATGTGCTCAAAGAAAAGATTCCGTGATATTCCGTTGCCATGAATAAAAATTGGGAACACCAACTTCAAATTGCGGTTTAGCACACGTATAAGTTAACAATGGATCCAAGTTGCACATACCTGTTTATGTGCCAGATTTGGATCATAAATAGCTTCAATATTGATCAACTGGTCTTTATAGAACATATACAAATCAAAAGCCGTAGGTACCTGGTCAATTTGACACTAAACGAATCACCTGAAATAGAATTAGTAACAGTTTATCCAGTAAGGTATGATTTTAACATATATCAAACACTAGGAAAAATTTCCTAGCTGTACGCGAGTCTTATAAGCACCATTAACATTGTTTCTGAACTTGATATATAATTTTTTAAAGAAATTATTTCTATATGTTCATTATAGACACCACTACAGACGAGAAAATGGCATTTTAACAGCAAAAAAATATCGGTTAGGGTAAAAAATGCTTGAACCTAAAAAATGCCATTTGAACAATCACACCAATCCCTTATCATCAGTGACACCTTGTGTAAGACACCTTAAGATGAACACGAAAGATACAGGCATGATTTAAGCTTCCATTAGGCCACACCAAGTAAATTTTATGGATGACGTCCTTTGGAGACTCCAAATCTAATGCGAGAGGGCGAAAAAAAAACAAGAAGGGCCCAAAAAAACAAGATGCCTAGATTAGAAATATACTAAGAGACGACACATGTTAGGACACAAATTGAATGAGGTGACACAGTGTAAACAAGCAAGAAGTCTTTTATTCATCATCAAAACAGTAATGAATCAGGTGGAACAGCAGTTGTCCCGTTCTGTTTCTTTCATCACATTTTGCAGACCTGCAGAAACAAAGCATAAAAGGCAAAATTAGTTGCTGATTAACCCTTTGCATGCATTACTACATTTCTACCTATGCAAATAGTCTATAGGAGCGTTTGAGAAAGAATATCAATAAAGGTCGAACCAAACAGAATATGTTTAGAGCTATTCTACATAAGTTGCGTAATGTATTTAAGTAGGTAACAAATGTATGCCTACCTGACAAACAGGGTTTATTGTCTGGTATGCAGCAGTCTTCTCTGTCGGTATGGGCAGCGTTTCCTCCTCGCCGCAGTTCCAGCACACCAAAGGCAGCATCGTCTTCATCACCCCTGACTTCAGTCTGGCTGAATAGTAGTACTGTGCTACTGGTGAAGTGCATGTCACTGCCCTACATGAAACAGGTGGAAAATTATGGAACAATAGTCAATTGTGCTAAAATCCAACTCTTCAGAAAAAACTTCTTTTTTTTCAACATAGAGGTTTAGGTTCTATGTTGTAGTTAAATGTACGTCTTTACTGTCCCCAAAGTGCCTTAAATTTAAAGGGTATATTCTGCAACAATCCATATCAAATGTACCTCACTACTCACCTGTGTTGTTATTGCTACATTGTTGTGTGCTCCCAGTCCCAGCGTAGGCTGGAAACATCCACTCCTGCTGACCTTGTTCTCTTGATGCTTTCATCATACCTGTATACATGTGTACATGTGAAAGGAAAAGTAAACCTTATGTTCCTAGTTCACAATAAATGTGTCTTAATGCAATCAAAGAAATTGAAGAGCAGACAACGTTACTAAATTGGATATCAAAGCTAAAATGATGGGGAAAAAGAATTCTTAAGAAAGACTAAAAATCCCCCCCCCCCC